CCTGTTTTATATTTTCATTATTTTAACGACTTTAACCTGTCAGTGAACGCTCCACGCTCAAACACACCTGTTTTATATCTTCATTATTTTAACAACTTTAATGTGTCAGTGAACGCCCCGCGCTCAGACACACCTGTTTTATATTTTCATTATTTTAACGACTTTAAACTGTTTTGAACATTTTCACTTAGATTACCTTGTCTGTTAATTTTAACGTTACATCTACTTTTAGCTTCTTCTTGCTAATCTTAGCTACTTTTACAGCTCTTATCAGATTTACCCCTTTTTGCCATCTTTCTATTGATTTTCTCTTTCCAGTAAGTCAGCAGGTAAAATTCAACTCTTTGATATTCTGTTTTGATATTAAAACTTTTCAGTTCAACTTCAGCTTATTTCGAAGCTTTTCGCTAATATCTTTCAGCATTAAACATTCACGCTGTACTGTCACAGTAAATGTATTTTCTCTAGTTGTTACAGTTAAGTTTTAACAGATCATTGATTAGGGAAACATCTTTAATTTTAACATTTATAAGAATTAAATGAAACTAATTATTGGTGTTTTTTTTACCTTCACGCCCAGGTTGAAGAAAAATCTCAGGACGTTTATATCTGCAGAAAAGAAACAATCAGTAAATATTTACTCCACAAATAGTTTAAATTTATCTTTAAAATAAAACATAGTTTAATAATTGTTTATTTGACCTCCACCTGGACAGAACCAGTCCTCACCTTTCGGCAGGTCGTCTCCCACCCTGCTGGTGGAGAATGGGGGGATCTGCTGGACCTCGCCGTTCTCCCCCTGGGGGAACCCGGGGTACAGGGGGTCATGGAACAACTGAAGTACAGGGAAGGTCCCGGGGAGGGCCTGAGGGAGGGCAGGTAACTGAGGAAGACTGGAGGGGGGAGGAGGCGGAGTCTCTGGTGTAGGCGGGGCTTCAGTTTGGACAGCTGGGACCTGGCAGGCATCCAGAGGAGGCTCAGAGGACTGAACCTGGACCACCTCAGACTGAGGCTGTGTTTGAAACTCACAGAGGACCTCAGTCTGGTTCTGATGGACTTGGGCCTGGTTCTGATGGACCTGGGCCTGGTTCTGATGGACTTGGGCCTGGTTCTGATGGACTTGGGCCTGGTTCTGATGGACCTGGGCCTGGTTCTGATGGACTTGGGTCTGGTTCTGATGGACTTGGGCCTGGTTCTGATGGACCTGGGTCTGGTTCTGATGGACCTGGGTCTGGTTCTGATGGACCTGGGTCTGGTTCTGAGGTGTCAGGTGTTGGTTCTGCAGGTCCTGACTTTGGGTCTGGACCTGATGTAAACTGAGCTGTGGTGGTCTGTCCTCCTGAGCCACGTTGGGACCAGTCTGAGACCCCAGAGTCTCACATCGAGACGCTTCAGGTTTCAGTAAAACACCTGAAAAATTGAAGGTCAACTTGTAAAAGACAAAAACACAGGAAGCAACAAACAATTATATTTCTGTATGAAATTAAAAATCATTTCCAGAAACAAGGGGAGCTGAAAGCTAAAAGTAGCAGAACAGTAGCTAAAAACTAAAAAGAAGCAGAGTGGCAACTTAATGCTAAAATGAGTGGAACGGTACCTAAAGGCTAAAAGGTTAGCTCAAGGCTAAGAAAAAGCAAAACAGTAGTTAAAGCTAAATGGAGCAGAACAATAGCTAAAGGCTAACTGAAGCAGAATGGTAGCTAACGGTTAAATAAAGCAGAATGGGAGCTAAAGGCTAAATGAAGCAGAATGATAGCTAAAGGCTAAATGAAGCAGAATGATAGCTAAAGGCTAAATGAAGCAGAATGATAGCTAAAGGCTAAACGAAGCAGAATGGTAGCTAAAGGCTAAACGAAGCATAATGGTAGCAAAAGGCTAAATGAAAGGCTAAATGAAGCAGAATGGTAGCTAAAGGCTAAATGAAGCAGAATGATAGCTAACGGCTAAATGAAGCAGAATGGTAGCTAAAGGCTAAATGAAGCAGAATGGTAGCTAAAGGCTAAATGAAGCAGAATGATAGCGAAAGGCTAAATGAAGCAGAATGGTAGCTAAAGGCTAAACGAAGCAGAATGGTAGCTAAAGGCTAATGAAGCAGCTAACGGCTAAATGAATCGGAATGTAGCTAATGGCTAAAAGAAGCAGAGTGGGAGCTGAAGGCTAACTGAAGCAGAATTGTAGCTAAAGGCTAACTGAAGCAGCTAACGGCTAAATGAATCAGAATGGTAGCTAATGGCTAAAAGAAGCAGAGTGGGAGCTAAAGGCTAAATGAAGCAGAATGATAGCTAAAGGCTAAATAAAGCAGAATGGGAGCTAAAGGCTAAATGAAGCAGAATGATAGCTAAAGGCTAAACGAAGCAGAATGATAGCTAAAGGCTAAATGAAGCAGAATGATAGCGAAAGGCTAAATGAAGCAGAATGATAGCTAACGGCTAAATGAATCAGAATGGTAGCTAATGGCTAAAAGAAGCAGAATGGTAGCTAAAGGCTAAAGGGAGCAGAACCTCAGCTGTAGTGTCTGAAGTAGATTAAAAGGAAAGTTTTGAACTGAAGAGATTTATTGTCTTTCTGAACTAAACAAAAATAAAACAGTTTTTATTTTAGCTGAACACAGATTTTAGTTCATCTTTAGCAGATAAATGTGAGAGTACGGCACTGTTTCAACCTGTTCAGCTGATTTCTTACTTGTAGCAGGAGGAGCTTGAGGAGGAACAGCTGATGATGATGAGGAGGGGGGAGGACTGGGGGAGGGAGGCAGAGTGGTGACGGGGGAGAAGGAACGCAGGAAGCCTGGAGCGACTGCGGGACACGGAGCGATGGGGGCGATGAAGGTCAGCCGAGGAGCTGAAGATGAGGGGGGAAGAGGAGGAGGAGATGAAGAGGAGGCGGGGGGAGTTGAAGCGGCGGGGAGAACCGGGGTGATGAAGGAGAAGATGCCAGCGGAGGACGGGACGGAGGATTTCACGTTCGGAGGAGAAGTTGGAGCGGCGGCGGCCGAGGCGTAGGACTGCGCGTTGGGTTTAGTGGGCGGGGCGCTGGGGGCGGGGCCTGAAGCCACAGGGTTGACAGAGCTCCGCCCAACAGAGTCAGCAGCTTTATCAGGAGGAGGGGCGGGGCCAACAGGTAAAGTGGTGGCTGCAGGAGGACGAGGAGGAGGAGTGGAGGACTTTAGTTTCTCTCCATCAGGGGGCGTCGACACGACGTCTTCATCTGGACTCTTCTGTAAAAAACAAAAGACTCAAATATAAATTAATTTATTATTTTTATTATTAGTTTCTGACATTCATTAAAATATGTCCAGTGGTTCAGGAGACACATTACTAACAAAGACAAAAACATTTTGAGTGGCAGGCGATATAATAAAATAAATACAAATTATTAAAATATCTTAAAGTTGAGGATTTGAACAAAGATGCCGAAGAACGAAGATTAAAAAAAAAAAAAGGTTTTGTTGAAAGGAGCGTCTCAGGAACATGGCTTTACGACTGATATATATCACTGGACTGGGAGTCACGTGACCTGGGCGTGCTTCACAAGCGGGATTTTTATGCATTGAGCTAAYGCTAACGCTAACCATTGAAATGAATGAGCAGAACGTAGCGCAGAGCAAACAAACGCTTTATGAACGTACAAATGTTGCAAATACTTTGCTATAAACTGCAGAAATTGTTACATGTTTACAAGAGCTAAAAGGTTTACATTTCACAGGTAAATATTACGCATATTTAACCAAATAAAATACTGTGATAAATTACAGCTGGAAAAGGGGTATGATTATATAAGTTATACTTCATCATACTCCTTTTCAGACTCATAATCACCGATGTGATGTGTTTTCAAGAAATATATTATGTACTTTATGTTGTTCTACACTGCCGGTGAAAGGTTTGTCTGAAATAAACTAAACTAAACTAAACTAAACTAAACTAAACTAAACTAAACTAAACTAAACTAAACT